CGACGAGTCGCTTCGGGACGCTCGCAATATCGTACCCCCGCGATAAATCCATTGATTTCTATAAATCCAGCCGAGGAGGCTGCGCCTCTCGCGCGGAACTCGTGACCGACATACGTCGCGAGAGCGGAGATCGGGCTCGTAAAATCGTTTACATCGGCACGGTTTGTCGAGGAAGAGTTATGGCGGTATCGGAGGGCGAAGCGGTAAGAGGGAGAGAGAGGGGAGGCGAGAAGTACATTGGGATAAAAGGAGAAAAGAGCGAGAAAAAAGGACGGCGCGAGGCCCGTGGGCGCTTTAAAGAGGCTCCGAGTGGATTTACGCGGTGCGGTCCCATCTCCTACCGGGGCCGTGGTTTACAACGTCGTTTACAGTTATGTAAATATCGGCCCGAGCGCGGAGGCGTCGGTCGATGCTTTAGGAGATCGCCGGCCGAACCCCCGGACACTTTTCTGGAGTTTAAACGGTGTTTTAACCTCCGAGAAGCGAGTCTCTCGTTCGGGACTGGACTCTTCTCGCCCTCGTCCGTTTCCTCTCCAGAGATTCGTCTTTTGCCTCCTCCGTCTCCTAGGACGTGTTTACCCGGTCCCGATTTCAAGTCGGCGTTCGTCGAGGAGACCGAGCCTTAATTCCAATCGCGGAAATCACCCATTCCTAATTCCACGAGCGGATCCACCGACTTCGAGTGGCAGAGGACTTTCACGCCTCGCAAGGTGCCTCGTGACGGCGTTAATCACGGCAACGTCACTTTCACAATTCGTGAGCCATTCGAAATTCCGCCTCTCCGAGGAAACCTCGAAACGGTCCCGAGGATCCTCGCGGATCGCGACGAGTCCCGACAACCGCGACGGCTTTTCGGGAGTCTTGAAAGATCTTAGACCGGTGGAGGCGCCGATGCTTCTCCAGAGGGGAACATAAAATTGGCAAGGGCGCCGTCGAATTCCGCGTTCGCCCGGCCGCGAAAGAGGTGCGCAAGGAGTGTCCAGTTACGCAAGAGCGAAACGTAATCGGGGTCTTAAGGAATTCCGCCTTGCACTCGGGAAAACGGGCCCGGAACGTGGCATTCGGGCTCGGCGGATCGCCGTCCGGAACGAATCTAGCGCGTCCGCCGTTATCGCCGATTCCGCGGCACACATCGAGCGGACGACCCCCTGACGGCTGGACAACAACGTCGACGACGAGGCCCAGGTCCTATGGCAAGAGTCGTTACATACGTGTTCCTTGCGCGGTAATCGGCGAGTCCGGCCAGGGAGGGCCGAGAGGTTACGAGGAGCCCTCGGCCCCGAAACCGTAATATGCGATACCGGGCCGGCCTCCCCGTAGAAGCGATTATTAATAAGCAATGCCGGGTCTCGTTTTATTTCACATCTGTGGGACTCACGGTCTGGCGAGTTTCGCTCGGTCGCTGACCTCTCGCTCCTTCTCTCCCTCTCCGGCCCCCCGAGCTCCCCCCGCACCCGCGGGGCCCGACGCGGGCCGGCGTCTCGATTTATGGACCGCAGAAAATTAACGAAAAAAATCGAAACCGGCCAAAAGCGCGTGCGCCCGCGCCGCGGAAGAGCGTCCCTCTTCCTCTCGGCAAGGCTACGTAAGAGCGAGGACAACCGGGCAACGAGGACGTCCGGAAGTGCGCCGGTGACATCATACGATGTACGTCCGCGTCGCGGGCCCCGGGGGGCGACGCCTCCGTAACCGGGAGGTCGCGCTCTTTTTGTTCCTTTCGGAAGGAAAAAGGAAAAACGGAGACGGTCGAGGTCGGCCGATCGCGTTCGCCGGGAAACTTAGCTCTCGACTTCGCTCGGCCGGCGGACTTCCAGAAGCGGCCACTTAGCGGCAAACGCGCCGCGTAATTGAAGGAACGTTAATTGCGCCGCGACCAGGGACGGCCTCTCGAATTTCTCAGATTACGCGAATACTCAGCGAGGATTTCGGATTCCCGGGGATTTGAGAATTCCGCGCGAGGCGCGCCGCGCCGGGTCTTCTCGGAACCCCGAACAAATTCCTCCCTAATTACTGGGGGTTGGATTCCTGCGGGACCGGGAGCGCGGAATGGCCGGGTCCGGCCCGACGATGCCCCCTTTTGCCAAACCCTCGCGAACCGCGGGGAACGGTCTCGAATTCGATGTTCGTTCCGATCCGGTCCTGGGAAATTGATAAGTTTCATCGTTCTCTCCCCACCGATTGGGATCTCGGCGACCGCTCGCCGAGGAACTCGTAAAAACAATAGGCTGGCTCGTGAGAATCAATTAAGACGAAACTGGCACGACCGGGTCGTTAGAAAGTTTTCCTTCAATTAAGTTATGGAAATTTAACGGAGTGCCTCCTCGATAGAGGCACGTCGGCGACGTCCAAGATGGCCGCTCTTGAGCGAGGACGTCGTCGCTCGAGTTCGGTGGATCTACGCTAGTTGCTTCGCCCCGAACCTGGTTTAATCGGCCCAGTAAAGTCGACGATTTATCGCCGAGACGTTAGCCTTGCCGTTTCCAGCCCGTCAACGTCCATTCTCGCGACGATCCAAATGCCTAACTCGGGCGAGCTCGGAGGTGCACCCTCTCGCGGTCTCGTAAAATCGCGCCTCCTCGTCTCTCTCTCTCTTCCTCCGTATCCTTGAAATACCGACACGAGGAAACGGGGGAAACAGGAAACATAGGGCAAACCAACGGGACGAGAAGCGACTAGGTCGGTTTCGATGCAGGACCTTGGGCGGCCGAGAATAAAGATGACAAGTGGAGTCGCACGGCGTCGCGGAGAGAGGTATAAACGCACCTCGGCGTAGCGTGAATATGAAATGAGACATTGATTCATAGGGCAATTAAATCGAGCCTATCTTTCCTAGGCAATCGTAAAGCTCCCTACGTCGCCTCGGGATTCGAGGAGAACTCGCGCGATTATCCTCGTCGCGGTTATCACTCGTGTTTCGGTATTTTACGACGAAGCCGCGGACCGGACGGCAAAAATTCCCACGGGTCCATTCGATAAAAAAAAAAAAAAAAAAAAAACCGGCGGAATCGGGTCCCCTGATCTCACCAAAGCGTTCCCCTCGAGGGATCCACGTTAGTGACGGGCAAAATCGATCTCGGTGTTGCATGGTCTTGGTTGTATATTTTATTTAAAAAAAAAAAAAAAAAAAAGAAAAATGGTTTCGCACAATTTCCAAGACCAAGACCGATCAGGCGCGTCACCGATTCGCGGATTCCGACGATACGACCCTGGGTCGCGGTCCTTCGGAGGATCGGCCGTACTATCCTTAACTCAGATCCCGCAAACGTCCATCATGCATTATTTACTAAGCGCATGGTCGATCGGTTGCGAGTCGCTGTTACGGCCGGCCGTGTTTGCCGCATAACGCGGAGAAAGGTCCCTCGAGCGCGGAGAACACACATTCCGCTCGCGCTCGCGATCAAGGCCCGTTCCACGGTGGATACCGCACCTGAGAGTTCGGAAAACGCATTCGCGATCCGGGGTCGAACGCGAAACGGAAGATCCGCAACGTCGAGCCGAGCCCCGAGCCGTTGGACGCGTCCGCTCGTTAAAAGCCCCGTGGGTATTGGCGCGTTATGTACCCGCCCGGTTTCTCGGGAATAGGTTGCAGATGTGGAAACGGTCCGGCGAGCCGGAGGCTTCCGTTGCGCCGGCGTCGACGGCATACCGGGGAGAAAGGCCGCCGAGTACGGATAAATGTAAAGAAAATGCTCTTTCCGAGGAAATCCGAAATTACAGCGCGTAACGCAGAAAATAAATTCGATCAAGGACGACCTAAAAGGCTCCGTCTACGGTTAGCGGCGCGTCTCGACTCTTCCTCGAGAAGTCTCACTCCATGCGCCGTAAACCGAGACGTTACCCCACGTTAAGGGGCCTTAAAGTTCGCTTTCGGAGATTCCCGCGGGGATGTCCGAAGGGGGCACAATAATACGACGTCCTTAAAGCGACTCGAGGACGTCTCGGCCCTATATGGGGCGCGGCTCTCCCTGCGGTCAAGGAAGGAAACCGCTCGAGCCCGGGTGGTCTCGAACTAGTTTCGATCGCGCTCGATGGATACGGAAAACGGCCGCCAGCAAAAACGCGCAAACGCAATGCAGACGTAACGCCTTGCTTCTCGGGGATACTGGGAACGCGCATACGTGCGGGAGTTTCGCCAATCCGGGAGATCGGAGGAAAAGTGGATAGCGAGGACCGATTCGGTCGGCACGAGGACGCGAATGTCGGACAAATTGTGGAAATCGTCGGATTCGGGCGACGAAGGAGAGGGACAGGCGTCCGAAACGCGACGGGAACGGAGGGTCGGTCCCGCGCCTCCACGGCGGAAATACGACGTGGGGCGGATCGAGTTCGCGGTAACAGGAGAATCGTCCGTTTCTTCGAGCGACTCTCTATGAATCCTCGCGTGTGGGTAGGCCTCGGTGGCTGGTCAATGCTCCGCCTGTGTGTTCGCATAAACTTTATTCCCCGGCCGGTTTCGAGCGCGCCGACGCGGATGGCTCCCGCCGCGGGTTCTACGTGTGCGCCGTGCATAAAACTATTATGTCATAAGCCACCGAGGGTATGGAGGCCATTCACGAGGAGGCTCCTCACTTGGCCGGCTTCGCGGAAGTCCTTTCCTCCCAAGACTTCCAGACGTCGCCTTTTCGCTCGCTCCTCGCGGAAACGTCTCGTTCCTCCCGCTCTCCGGACGAGGAAAGTCGGTCTCGGTCTCGCTCTTGAAAAAATCCGAGTACCGAGGACATTTCCAACGTCCTCGTCCTCTCGGTGGCTGCTTTTTGGGCAGCGGCAGCTTCTTCGCTTCTTGACCTCGTTCCATGCGGTGGTAGGAAACAATTACGGAGCAATGACGCGGTCCGTCTCTTGCCCCGTCGCCGTCTGGCATCAGGGGTCAACGAGGCGGCCCATCGACCGATTACGGCTTCCCCGGGTCGGAATGCCGCCCACCAGCGACCCGTCTCTCGTGGCTCCGCTTTGCATAGAGGTGACGTCTAAAAACCCCGACGGGGGAGTCGCGAACTCACCTTGGTGTGGAGGAAAGCCAGCGACTTGTTAACGTTCTCGATCTTGTGGACGCGCATCCGCCCGTTGTTGGGCTTGGCCAGTCGCTCGCCGGAGATGATCTCCAGGAGCTTGAGCAGCTTCTTCCCGTCGCCCAGGTCGGTGAACAGATCGTCCACCTCCATGCGCACCTGCAGCGAGGGGGAGGGAGGAATTATCACCCGAGTTGATTAAATTATCGCCGGTTTCGGCGACCGGGGAAAAGACCGAAGGCGCTCGCTTTCTCTCCCCTCCGGAGAAAGAGAAGAAGCCAGGAGGGAAAGGGAGGCCCCGGACGTGACGCTAACGCAAACGGTCCCCGGAATCCGGGCCTTGCCGCGTGCGTTGAAAATAAACGCACCTTCTGCAGAAACGAGTTGACCCATTTCGTGAAGGTCTTCTTCTGGATGTGCAGCCGCTCTTCCTGCAGGGCCTTGATGCGACCCTGCTCGAACTTGAGGACGTCCTCCCTCTGAGTCATTCTCCTCTGGATGTAGAGGCCGCCACGATATCGGTCGACTCTCCGCGGTTGATAGGAGACCGGGAACTCGTTGACGATCGGCGTTGCGGGGGGTGCGGCGCGGTGCCCAGCGCCGGGCTCATACTGCGCCCCTGAAACATGGATCGCGCTTCAGACTCCCCTCTTCGTCGCCACCGTCGTCGTCGGATTAATTCCACATTGGGATATTAGAAATGCAAAAAGTCACGGCTTCGGAATTCGGGCGGCCAGCGAGCGAGGGACATCGCCGAGTCCCGTCGAGACGGAGAGAGAGAGAAAAAGAGGGACCTCGTATAATGGGCCGCGTCCTTATTTACATCGGAATTATGTTTGTCAACGGACGGGGGAAAGCGAAAACCCGTCCAGCCGCCGGTGGGCATTGTCGTCCCGAAAGCTACCGGATTCGAAGCTTCAATGGCCAGCCATTGAAGCTCGAGATCGCGAAGACTCGAGCGGCCTTCGAGTACGTCTTCGGCATCATCCCCCACTGAGAAAGAAACCGCACAACTGGACCGGTCCTTTGGCTCCGTCTCCCTCTTTCTCTCTCTCTTTCTCTCTCCGGCGTAAGAGGTGGCCCCAGAAAAGGGAAGAAAAGGAGGGAGTAAACAACCCAGTGGCGACGTTGCCAAGTCGACCTCGAGGCGAACCCCGAGCCCGAAAGAGCCGCTCCGGAAGGACGAGCTGACGGAAATGAATGGCGGAAATTTATAAAGACTCTCGAACAATTGGTTATTAAAAAGGATCTCCACGAGTTACGACGCACGGTCGGCCCAACCTGAGGAGCAATGGACGTGTTTATTACGCGGCCGTTACGTCACGTTTCGCCCGACATGCGCGTATTCATAAATTATGTCGAGTGGGCGGATGCCGGGCCCGTGAAAGGAGAGTACGCGGTAGCCGCGGGAATAAAATACCACCGCGTTAGGACGGCTTTATGGCAAAGGGTGCACCGAGGTGCATCCTTCGACCCTCGGAATCCGAAATGCCAACTCGTCACCCCGGCTCCGCGAGAAAAAAAAAAAATATCTGGAGGAAAAAATCGCGAGATACGATCTCCGCTTGTGTGGAAACTATGGCGACGGCATTCCCGATATTGGAGCCTATTTCCATCGATGAACCGCCGCCGATAAGATATCGCTGCTAGGCGGACGCGTTATCGCGTCCCACCGAGAGCGGTGCGACAAAGTGCAAAAGTCGATTATAAAGAAAAAAAAAAAAAGGAAAAGAAAGCGTCTCGCCGTGGCGAACCCGACGCCGACGTTTGGCCGGTTGGCCTGGGAGGTTGAGCTTAAATTTTGTTTTTCCACGTTTTTGAAACAAAGGGGAAACCGCGAAGATCGGTAAAAACTCGGCCGACGAGGCGGGGCGTCTCATCTACGCTGCGTCGCCGAGACGAAACGTCGCGGAAAGGCCGTCGCGGCGTCGAGGCGTCACGCGGAAAATCACTCGGCCGACACTCGTAAAATTACGAGGCTCGGTGACGAATGGGGAATGACGGGGCGTTTAACCGATTCCGAGGTGCCGGCAATTTGCAGCCACTTCCTCTCGCAGCCAAGGAAGGAAAGGAGAGGCCGAGCCTTCGATTCCGCGTCGCCGGTTCTCGCTTTTGACGCCTGCCCAAAAGTGACAACGTAGATAAAGAACGACCCGTCGACGAGGAGACAAACGGTTCGACGTGAAAAGAGGTGTCTGGGTCTTGAAAAGCCAATCCGACGCCTGGCCTACGATCTAAACATCCACGAAATGACAAATGGGAACAAAAAAAAAAAGTCGCCTACAATTGCGCTCGAAATAGCGATTTAATCGCCGGGCGATAAAAACAAATCTGGAGCAATTTACCCAGCCGAGGTTTATGACGCGGAGACAAGTCGGTGATAAAGGCATCGCCCCCGATGCCGGTTATCGATAGGAAAGAGCCCGGAGGCAAAATCGACGAGATCGAGTCGTCACGTACCACTAGCCGTGTCAGCTAGAAAAATCACTAGAATCCACGTTTGGAATTTTTTTTTTTTCACGGTATTTTATCTAATCAGCCCAGTCCTTAACATTCCGAGCGCCTCTCGTCCATATCTCTGGCGTACGTCCATATTTACCGTATCTCTCCGCCATCGTTAGAAAACTGGCGGTCGCTCCGACCTTCTAATTACTCGGTGACGCCCGTGCAAGGTGTACACCTCACGGGTAATTCACGATTAACCGTTCGTCCTTTGCTCGTACATCGCGGGAGATATCCGCGGCGAGCCGAAGAAAAACTTCGTGGCAGGAGTATATCATTGACGACCGGTGACAAGCGACTGATTCAGCCGTTAGCTAAAGGCCACTAACAGGCCTCTTATCACTCGCGCCGCCAGGGTACCTTGAAAGTATGTTACCATGTACGCGCCGCATAGGCGTAGGGACCGGTTTACAAATAGAGTACGTATTCTTACGGTACGTAGTTTTTTCATAAGCGCGCTCGTTAAAGGGGGCAAAACGCTCATTAGGGCAGCCGAGCTTCCGGCGATGCGAATCAGGGCCGACCTCGACAAATAAACGACCTGCGGCCTGTTATTGCGGAATCTTGCAACGGGCCCGTTAAACGAGAACTCGACGCGTTCCCTCGACACGTGTGCAAATGTTTACGCAGCCACGAGGGCCTGCTCGGTCCCCGACGTCGACGTCGCCTCGACTTGGGCGTAACGCTCGTAGTTGGCAATTAAAGCCCCGACGGAAGTAACCGGAGACGAAAGTGCTGGAACAATGTTTCGAGCAAACATCGGTTATCTCAAGAGTAATGCCTCGCTCGTTGTTCGGCTCGCGCCGGCGACACCGACGTCCAAACGGGGCGGGACGTTCGTCGAATTACAAGAAACGAGGCGCTTCCTGGCGTCTCGATTTCAAAAGAGAGAGAAAAGAGGGAGGATGCCAGGTTTGGTTTCTTTCGAGGTCCGTTTCTTTCGCGCACTGACGAGGCGTTTTGTGAGCCAAATATCTCCTGTCAAAACCGAGCCCGAACGTCGGCTTCGAGGCATTGTCTCTCGAGGTCTAACGAAATGTCAAAACACTTCAGAAATCCGTAACGCCGTGTTACTATTTTTTTTTTCTCTCTCTCTCTCCCCGGGGCTCTCTCGCCGCGCCCGGAAACGCGATCGCGGAGGGATTCCGATCGGAGGGCAGAGATCGAAGCCAGATCGGGCGGATTCATCTCGAGGGGTATCGGGGCGATCATCTCGCACGGCGGATGGAATGACAATGAGCCCGAGTGAATGGACTCGGTTCCCCCTGAGGGAGCAGCCTCGATCCTCGCGGAAGCTGCTTGACGATTTATTTAGACCTGCCCCGATGATATCGCGGAACGACGTGCCGGGTCGCTCCCCCTCGGCAGGATCGCGACTCCGCGAGTATCCCGCGGCAAATGCGGAGAAAACGACCAAAGGCGCATAAATAAATAAACGAGGGAATAAACATAGGAAACGACGGTCGGTCCACTTCGAGAGCGGAAGTGCCAAACGGTCGCGAACGATCCCATGGCGCGCCGTTTCTGTCCATTGTTCGCCGCTCGGCCGAATTCCCATTGTCGGCGGCAGGAAGAGAGCGAGATCCCGCCGGAAATACGGTGCACGCATCTAGGTCGGTCGCATCGATGGACGGGGGCCGATCGTTCCGTTTATTCCGGCCGGATCCGTCAAAGGGTGCGTTTCGATTCCGCGACGCCGCGTCGCCGAATCCGACGCGACTCGGTAACGAGACTCGGCGTAATAATAGGGATTACGCGATGCCGTAAACGCGCCGCGAGATCGCCGCGCAACGAGTCCGCAACGAGGCCGCAACGGGGTGCGTTCAATCCCGCCGCGGATCTCGCTCTCGAGACCGCCGGGCGTTCTCGTCGCCTCCGGCACTCCGCGGTGGAAGGGGAAGAGAACTTTGGAGAAAGTCCCCCGGGACGGTTCTCGAACGAAGACGTCCACCCTCTGGAAAGATGTCAACCGATCGCTCGCCTATCGCGCTATGTCAAAGAAGGGGACAAAAGGGGGGAAAGAGGGAAAAAAACGAAATCCAAGTCGCGGCTGGACGGCGGGCAAATATAGGTTTCCCTTGCCGGTCCCCGTTTTCCGCGACGCTCGATAAATCCTCGCCGGGATTTCCGCGAGGAAATCCGCGCCGGGAAAGGACACCGATCGGAGTCGGAAGTGCGCTCGACGAATTTCGGATCGATCGTCGATCGCCCGCGCATCGACGCAGGGATCGATCGTTGCGGTAGGAACAGGTACGGATGATCGATAGTTTCCGATAGGCCGTGACGGCCGAAAAGGCACGATCGATCACCTATCCGCGGCTTAATTCGACGGAACGATGGCGTCGCTCATCGTCGGCCGAGAGGAAGCTCCCCGGTAATAGAGCTCCTCGAGACCGTTTTTTTTTTTTTTTCTCACGGCGAGATGTATCAATAAAACTCCACTTTCTCCTTCCGTCCTTTTCCCCGCCAGGCGAGAACTTCGGAGAGAGCGCCGATTAAAAGATTCTTCGGATCGACGAAATCCATCGAGTCGAGGAGCCGTCTCTCGTTACTCTGGTACTAACTTTATCCCGGGACAATGGTCGTCCTGCTTAATGATTTTCAATTCGAACGCCTCCTGGGCGTCGCGACGTTAAAAGGCGGAAGTCGCGAGGCGAGCAGATGTCGCGGAAAAAAAAAAGGGGGGGAACAAATGCTCGCGCAGTTCTCCCCTGCAGGCTCGAAGAAGCGAACAAAAAGGGTGGCAAGGGAGTCATGCCGGAGACGAAGCCCCGAGGGAGCGGATTCCGGATGCAACGACCCGGGGTGGAACTTCAAGGGGTTCCCTCCATCCGGGGGCGACTTACCGCCGGTTTACTCCCAGGATAGCGCTCTGTTCAAAGGCTGAAATTCAAATCCCCGGGCAAGAGGACTCGCCGCGAGGGGAAACGCTCTTAAAAAGGTCAATGAAAATTCCCGCGCAGCGGCGAGAAATTGCTTCATGCGAGCCGGTTAAAAATACCGCATGCCGTAATCGTGCCGTCACGTTCGCGGGGTACCGCGGGATAGTAATCTTATCGGTGCTCGTGCGAAGCCTACAGGGTGACTCGGAGCCGGCCCCGAGCGTTCCCTGCCCCCTCTCGAAAGACGGCAGTCCTTTGAGAGGTCGAAAACTTGCGAAGAACCTCGCCTGGATTTCCTCCCGTCCAGATTCTCAACGAGGGAGCGAAACCTCGTTTTTTGGATATTTTCGTTTCCCGAAAATATCCAAAAATCAAATAATTCATTTTTTCAATCGTGCAACTTTTTTTTTTTCAAGCCAAGAAGGACGAGGACCGACGAGTCGAGGAATGTCCCGGGTTAGAAAGCGCGCGGAGGAAAGTGCGCGGACCTACGGGAGGGAAAACATATCGCGGCCTCTCTCGCATACGAGCGAGTACGTACGCGCGAGTAAGTACGCGCGAGTGAGCGCTAGAAATAGCCGCGCACCGGAGATATTCGGAAGACTCGGTGTTCGTCAGGTGTTACCCCCACGCACTCTTACGTCAGGCGAAAGAAGACACGTCGGCGAGACTTCGCGGAATATCCGCGTGGGTGCCGCCTCGCGAGGTCTCCCCTCCCGGTCGCAATTAATTCGATTACGTCGCCGACGATTCGACGCGACTTACTCACGGATCGCGGCCAAAGTCGCGGAAAAATGACAGGAAACGAGACGATCCTCGGAACGCAGGCGGAGGAATTTTTTTCTCTCCCCGCGACTGGGTCGACTAGAAACGACACAAAAATTCAAGGACGGGGAAAAATCGCAATAGGGTCGACGAGCAGAGGTCGGAGTTCGCCGGCGATGTCACGACGTCCGAGAGGGCGCTCGAGTCGTTATCACTCGGTCCTCCCGACGGTGATAACGTCGGATAAGCAGGTCGCGGAACACGCGAGCGAGGCCGCGTCGAAATTTCTCCCCCCGTCGCGAATCCGAATGCTTGGCAATGTTTATCGGCGAAATTGACCTCGATAAACGCACTCCGGTCCGTGTTTTAATTAAACGACGCCGCGCGGGCCCGATTACAAGGCGCCCGGTGTCGGAGATGGTCTCGATAAAAAAGAAAAAATTAAAAAGAAAGAAAAAAGAAGAAGGGAGGTAAGCCCACCGTTAATAATGACACGGACGATAAGTGCATCGTTTATAGCCTCGCGTCGGATCGGTCCATAGGCAATGAGGCTTTCGTCGAGTATCTTCCTCGCGACGCCCATCGATGCTTCTTTTTCCCCTCGACGGAACGCATTCCCCACCCGGTCCTCTTTGTCTCTCTTGGCGATCCCGTACCGAGGCTTCGCCCGATTCACTTTCGCGATATGTTATTTGCATTCCGGTGCCGAGTCGACCTCGTCGCATCGAGATTAACGCCACTCCGAGGCAATCTCCGAGGACCCGATTAATCGATCCCCCTCGGAGGTCAGGGTTCGACTATTCGATTTCGGCAAGCCGAGGTAAAACTACGGCTCGCGACCGATAAGCGCCCGATAAGGGGAGTCGCGAGAATCTATCCAAGAGTTCCTCGATGAAAAAAATGAGCGCGAAGGGGAGAAAAGGCGTAATAACGATGCCCTAAGTGCTTACTTAGCCAGGTGCATATCCGCGGAGTGAAAGCCGCGGAGGTACCCACCGATGCTATCCGCGCGGCGATCTCCGCGGGAGATAAATAACACCACGATGCGATCTTAAAGAGAGGGTACATCGGGTACCTCTAGAACGCGGGAGGTCGTCGCACCTCCAGCGGTTCGCGCCCGATAATCGCGGCATTGTCGATAAGGCGGCGGAACGAGTGGTGCCCCGCGGAAAAGCCCGATGACGTTCGAACTCGTTATCGCGGCCGGGAAAGGGTATTTCCCCCGTTACCACCCGACGTACGCGAGATATCGTTCCCACTCGAGGTATCGGGAATAAACTTAATATAGATAGGAGGATCGATAGGAGCGGAAGAGAGTCGTTTACCGGCGGACCCTGGGACGCTCCCCGGTGAGACCGTCTCACGACACTGGGCGCTATCTGACGTAATTCCAACACGAATGTCCGACAACGAATACCGGATTATCCTAACGCGTCCTAACGGCGTTCGAGAGATAAGGACGAGCGTTTACGTACATGGGTACGAATCGCGGGAGTACGCCCGGGTAATTGCATGGATCTCGGTTAACGACCAGACACGGAAAATGACAATCGGGGGAGATGACAGGTGAGCGGGAGTACTTGGTGGACGAAGGACGTACGAGGGGGGAGCAGGGAGAGGAAAGCTGCACCGAGGTGCGAAGATCGATGCGACGTCCCGAGCGCATAGAAAGCCGGCCGGCATAAAAATCGGCATTCTTGCGGGCGTGGTAACGATTTTAACATTCCCCAAAGGTCGGCGGCGCTGACTCGTCGCGCGTTCGCTCGCGAGCCAAATAAGAGAAACCGAGAGTCGCCGCTCGTTTCCGGCGCATCGGGTGGGGCATTTTCTCGACCGAGTTCCGCGCGATTACGCACCTCGAATACCGGGGCGAGGACGTATCGACAGGGCCGGATGAGATTTTTCGAGCGACCCGCCAAGAGACCACGTGGTCGCCTGGACGCCGCCATCTTGTTTTCGCCGGTCACGTGGCCACGCGCCGAGGCTTCTCACGTGGGGAAACGTCCCTAAAACGAGGCGTCCGTTTCGGCCGCTTCCGGTGACCGAGAGACCAGGTGTCGCAAATACCGGTACGTAAAGTCAAAGAGTAAAAAGGACCAAGTGTGGTCGTACCTTGAGCCGCATACTTGCACGCGAGCCAAACAACGCGTCGCCGCTCTTGGCACGCGTCGCGCGCTTCCGGCGCATCGGAATTGCCTCGTATACTTGTCCTGGAGCGAAAAGCCGAGGCGAGGGGGGTAAACGATCTCGAGGCCGGACCTCGTGGACGGATCGGAGTCCTTTTGCGGGACGTCCCCTCGGAGTTAAATCGAATGGACGGGTCGCGTCGCTCTATTTTGTAACACCCTCGGGGGACGTCGACTCGCGGCGAACGGGACGGTCCATCGGCGGATTACCCCCGCATCGCAAAAAGGGGGACGTCGTCTGTCGCGTTTCCGTCCCGTCTCGCGGCTGTCGGCTCCTGGAGCGAGACCCGTTCCCGCGTTCCGTTAATACGTATTCCGCGATTCCGCCGGCATCGCGGGGGTCATCGGGCCGTTTCCGCGACTCGGCGCGATAAGCGTTAATACCTGCTCCGGCCTTATCTCCCGCCCAATTACCGTATTTCCCCGAGTCTAACGGGACCCGGAGGAGCGCGAAAGTTCCCCGGGACTTCCTTGAATCGTGGAATCCCGAGGTGATATTAACGCGGAATTCTCGGGGACTCCCGTTAAACGGGCATCCTCGGACGAGAGATCGGATCGACTCGAGCGAGGAATTAGTCAGAGGCCCCGGTCGGATTTAAACGCGATCGAGGCATGGCCCGATGGCCCGGATCGATAATCGATCCGTCTCCTCCGCCGTAATTATCGCGAGACGAGGCTTCGTGGAATCCGCGACCGGGAAGCGCGCCGACGTCATCTCGAGGTTACGACGAGTAAATCTTGGTCTTGCACTTATTGAATTTTGTTTTTTCCACTTTTTTGTATAATCCAATACCAAGACCGTGAAACCACTCATTGCCAGCTGGAAAACCGGGGTCGCGGTATTACGGGTCGCGGAGCCGCGGGCGATCTCTCCTGGTACTCCACGGCGAAGGAATCAACGAGGCATACGGAATTACCCAACCGCCGAGAATGCGCGCGACATCCGGGGAACCCTGACACAATTTTCGCCGGGAAAACGTCGGTCGCATCCGCGGGCTCGAGCGGCGCGAAAACTCGCGCCGACGTCGATTCGGTCGACCGATTCGCCCTCGCTTTCTACGTTAAAAGACGTTTTTATCCATGAAAAAAAAAATATCAAGTTCAAATGTACCATCGAGGATAAATTCCAAGTATTTACATAAACCGCCAGCAACGCGTGAGGTCTATTACGCCCCAAGCGATCTCGTATAATCCTACCGCAAACCCTAAAAAAAAAATCTAAAATTACAATTGTACTATTTTTTTCTCAGTCATTAAATGCCTGATGCCTCTTAACGTGGAAAACGAGGTACGAGGGCGAGGCCAAGAATTTTCATTTTTCGCCTCGGCTCGAATCCCGGTTCTTGGTCGGCAGGGGGGAGGGAGTCGATGCGTACACTCGCGCGTACTCACGCACACGTGCTCGCCGCTCGCTCGGTGGCCCACGTGCTCCCACGCTCTCCGCTGGACCCCGGGGAGCACGAGAGGCCCTCCATTCAGGAGGCTCTTCTCTCCTTCGCCTCCCAGTTTCGTTCTCGAAAAGCGAGCGGCGCCGGAAAAACGAACCCAGGGGGGGCACGCTAACGGGAAAATCGGTCTCCCCGAGCCGTCCGCGACTCGTCTTCCGGCATCCGGCGGCGCTCGATTGGGCGACGTCCACCTCGTCCCCGCCTCTCGAAAATTCATTCGCAGGAACGAGTAGCGGTCGACACGACGAAAAATAAAAAAAAAATAGAAAAACTCTCCGGGGACGTTACTCTTACCGAATGTTTACTCTTACCTCCGATGCAAATCGGACGTCGATTCGATTGCGCAATGGCGCTCGCTCGCGTAACGGTACACACGATGGAGGTGGAAAAGAGAAGAGCGTGCCGGATTTGCGCGAATCCTCGTTACGAAATTTTGTCCACGCCCCGCGTCAGCTTTTTTCCTCCGATGAATCAGAAACGAGGGAGTCGGCTTCTTTGACGCACCCCGGGGTCTCGAGGAATTTCTCGAAATCCCCGAGAACCGCGAGTGCGCGGTTTGGCCTCTCGATGGGCAATTGCTCGATTCGATTGCGCAAGGACGACTATCCGTGTAACGGTATGGGCGCAGCGAACGTGAATGAACCTTATTTGCAAGTGGCTCGGAAAAGCGTCACGCGCCGGACGATATGGCGAGAATAATCAAGAGCGGTGCGTGCAGGAGGTGGGGTAGGATATTCCTTATCGCGGGACATTAAAGACCTCAAGGGGGACCGCGGTACGAGGCTTCGCCGCCCTAATAAATATTTATACTACACTCGATGTAAACAATGCGTCCGAGATACGTTGGTCGGAATCTTCGCGGAGTTTCCACTCGGTCGAAATGGCGATTCCGGGTTAAATACGTGGCCGTGACCTTCGGGTCTCGAGAAAGAACGCGGAATATGAAATGCTCTCCTGCGAGTCGACTACAAAAAAATGACCCGCGCGATGCATGCCGGGGCATTACGAAATGCAAGGTACGCGGAGGAAATTGTCCCTCGTCGCGCAATTTTCCCGGCAATTTCGCGGGAGTTGGATAAGACTGGCCGGCGTTTAACGTTTCGTTCCCGGCAAGGTCGCAAGCGCGCCATTATCCGCGAATTTTCACTCACCGTTCCCTGAGATCGCGTTACGTAGCGCGTACGCCGCGATAACCGTTATCGCGCGGCGCACGATCCGGCAAAATGCCGGCGGTAAACAAAGAATCACTTGGGGCACAGCCGGGAGAAAAATAAAGGAAGGAAAACCCGAACGCGACCGACTGGCTTCAATTCACCGGTGGCCTTAATCCAAATGCCGTTTGGAACGCTTTGGACCGATAATCCAGTTTAAAGGTTACGCATACCCTGACCCTCCCCGTCGATCGACTTCGATTACGACTTCGCCTTGGAGAAAAAAAATCCTATCCTACGGCGTCTCGTTTAACCAGGAAGCGACAGGGCGATCCGTTGGTTTTCCGTCGCGGGTCTCGTGGACGCCGGTCGAGACGGAAGATCGAACGGTTCCTTCGATCGTTGAAAGAAACCGGGCGAACTTGGCCGCAACCCGATAAGACGGAGAACCGAGGGCTGACTGGCGGGAATTCGGGCCGCTCGCCGGCGAAATTCCCGGCGGAACTGCGGCGGTTTCGAGGAAGCGGCCGGGATGCCGCTCGCGTGTCGCGCACGCAGCGCGTTCCGTTGTTCCGGCGAGCGGCGATAACGGCGCATACCTTTCCCCCGGTTCGCAGTGGTTATCCAAACGGCGAGTCGGTCCCGGCAGGTCTGGAGAGTTCCGAGGGAGTCGATTCGCCAGCAACACTTGGAAGCACACCCACCTTGCGCGCGGCGCGGTGCCCCGCGCGCCGGTACACCCGGTACACTCGGTGGTCAACGGCTAAGCGAGTCGCGGACGCGAGTCCGCCCGCCTTCGAGGGAACCAGAGAAGTCGCCGCCTCGGTCGAGCCTACCGCCGGAGGACTTGCCAGGTCGGCCCGCTCTTCGTCTTCGTTCCATTCCATTCCGAGCCCGGTCCGCTCTCCCCTTCACCGCCGATCTTGTCCGTATCCCCACCACCGGCGGCGGCAACCGGTTTCGCGCCGGTGGCGCCGCGCACCCCGCCATCTTTGAACGGTCCATCGTATTCGAGTCGCGGTACGGGGAGGTCGACGGTAACCCCCGCCGGCCCGATATTTGCTTATCGAGGACGAGTTACGATTATTAATACGGATTTTTAACCCTTTGGACGGGGTGCTGCAGCGTTTTCATTGTTTTTTATTCGTCGAGATTCTTATCGGTTGAGTATTTGTGAGCTTCGATTGGTAACGAACGCGCAGGGAGAGTGATGCAACGTGATCCGGCCGGGCTTTGTTAGATGGCACTGAGGTGAAAGGCCTGCGTGTTCGAACCTGTTCGGACCTGTATTCAGGATTTCGTACGTGTCGCGTATGGTTGAAAAATTATCTGAGATTGCAAAAGTGAAGAATATTGACTGTTAAAATGGGTGAGTAAACTATTTTTAATGCTAAATGTTTTAAGAGATATCGATGATCATTTTTATTCTTGCGATATCGTCTTACCGGAGCTGTCTCTTCCCTGTAACCTCGAATAAATGCTATCACTCGGTTTACGTGACGTGCCGTACTGTTAGTCGGTTTTTGTGAATTAATATTTTTTAGAAGAAGGTCGAAATCGCTATTCATTCTCTAAAAAATGTGCAGCAGAATAAAATAGAGGGAGATTTCCATAAATCGATGTTTCTTTTTTTTTTATCAGTTCCTTTCGATCCTTTAGCTTCTTTGATTTTTTTTTTTTAACTTTTATAGTTTGTTCGAATTATTGTATCTATAATATTCATTGTATTCCTTGCAGCTGTGACGAGCCGAGTATCTTTTGTATTCTCGTCCATTTTGACAGTCCTCCTCTTTTCTGGGATGCAGATGTATAAAGGATGGCTTACGTCGTCTCAATTGCATATCGTCTTTGGAGGATACATCGGCTCGCTACTCTTTATCTTTGTTTTAACGGCCTTAGGCAATTTGGAGGCATCCGTTTTTGGGAAGTCGTTTCAAGCCAAATTTTTTCCAGAAGGTATGCTTGCCATTCATATAAAAGATATTTAAGCATCACACGTGGATACTAATTTTCTATGTTTTAGTGTTTATTTCCCTCGTCGTATCGCTCTTCGCAGCAGGACTGGTTCATCGAATTGCTACGACAACGTGTTTCCTCTTCAGTGCGGTAGCTCTGTACTATGTTAATCGAATTTCACAAGAAACTTATTGCGTTTCGGTACCGACGACTGTAATACATTCAAAGAAGAAAAAGTGAGAAAGATTATGAACAGTGAATAGAATGTTATATAATTCATATGAGTTCCAATGGTTTATAAAGAGGAACGCAATTTTTGTATGGTTTAAAATAATGGTGCGAAAGACATTTTTTATACAAGTGTGATTGCACTCGAGAAAGATATGTAATTATATCGTCAGTTGTGACTGATTATATTAGGAAAATATTTCCATAATGGGAAAGAATAATATATTGTATTTCGTAGAACCTTTATTTGGACTTACGGTACAGCTCACTCCATGTCCTTTATTCATTCCATATCGATTCTGCAAACTAAAGGTTAAGGAAAAAGACCTTATTAAGAATAGTAGGATTTCAAATTATCCTTCAAATAGTATATCACTGAATACGAAAGTTGGTACTGGTATTAAAGGAATGGACAAAGAATATTTAAACAATGCGTATTACTTTAATAACATTTAAGATTCCATTATTACATTGCATCCTCATAAATTACATTAAAGATTCAACGCTTGTAATAAAATAATTTCAACATAAATTAATTTTGATGTAACAGATCATCGTCACCGATTCATTTCTTTTCCTTTGCCTGCACCAAATACAGGAGTGCTCAGGACAAACTACGATCCGAGAATGTATTTTGCCGACCATTGTATTACCATACGTAATTTGTTTTCTAGATTTTGTTACTTCGATTACGGAGAAGGAACCGTTAATAAAGTATAGTAACGAGCACGATTCATGCTTAGGTCCTCTAAAAAATAATTTAAGCTACATCTTTGTACGATACGAACCGTTTAATAGCTTCGTATAATTAGAAGTTGGTCCACTTACTTGTAAGAGTATCAGAATTTGTAATGTTTTCGGTACAATATTGACTTTTTTATGAAGAGCACAGTCAAGAGCTATCGATCTTTCGCCTACTCTCTATTACCCGCATAGTAGTTTATTTTTCAACTAGAAGTCATAATTAAGATACTCGTAAATCTACGTACAGGATTAGTATACAATACTGAATGACTCGATCTCAATTATACTTAAGTAATGATTTTTCTATCGTCAGGTTTAGTTGACTCGGTTGAAGCTATTCTTCGTTACAAATCGTTCGAATATGTACAATTACGGTCACTAAAACGCGTGGCTACCAGGATCAAAAGAAAATCGATTTTTGGTATATTTTTCTCGTCCTACTAATCGCTACTTATATCGCTTCCTCGTACTATGTATTTATATATGTATATATGTATATCGAAACTAGTTCGTAATATTCAAGGCACATCGATAGTCAACTTTTAATGACAAAAAAGCGGTTTCGCGGAATACAGCATCGTTCTTATAAAAACGTATAATACAATAGGTTAAAGCGTTACCGAACTTAATTTCGAAGGCTAAGCAATTTCTGCTAAGCAATTTGCAGTACGTTTTAGAATTTTACAAAGGAACTTTTCCATCTGGCGATGACGGGAAGGTCGGACCGGGATATTAAAACGGCCCTGGCGTTGACTTCCGGGAACAGAGGGTCCAGGAAGTCGGGCTTTATTTTCGCGTTTAACGGGCCGTTACCGAACAACTTTTAATCCAGCCACGGAGAAACGACACGGCAAACAAAACGCGGAACGTACGATAACCGTTTGAAAGCCCGAATGCGTGGCGCCCGTCGAATGTTTATTTCGCCTTCTTTTCCGTTCTGTAACATCACGTAAAAACGAAGCGGCAGAGCACGCCTATCTCCTCGGCTTTTCATTTTCCTTCCCCTTTTAAAAAATCCTGGAGGGTTTCCCCGAGGGGGGGCCGAGGGAGGGAAGGCCCTTTGATATTTTCCAGGATACCAGGCAACTGGTACACACCCCTACTCGCGGGAAAACGCTCGAATACCGTCCGGATAAAACGTGGGAGAATTTCGCCGGTGCGTTTTCCTTCGAGTCACGGGGAGTACATTTTTGCCGGAGTGAATTCGCTTCTTCGCGCGATATCGCCAGGGTGGATAGGCGTGAATGGAAGGTCTGCGCTTCGCTCGGGAAAGGAGAAGATAACGCGTCCTAGAAGAAAAGTATCTCGAAGCGGGTCTCGAGACCGCTACGTTTCGATTTTTAGGCGGCACCGCGGGTCGACTATCGATGGACCTTAATCATTTCCTGGTCGATTCGGAAACAGCCTCGGATCGCGTCGCTCCTACGCTACATGACAATGTCGAGTCTGCACCGATGCCGTATCTGACCGACGACTCGTCATTCGTATGGCGACATCCCCTGCGAGACGTTTACCCGTATGGGCGTATTTTATAAATATCCACGTCCTCTTTGTAGGGAGTTGTAAAGCTCTATCGACTCTTCGACTAGCGTTGAGAAACATTTTGATGCGTCAAAGTGGAGTCGCCGACGCGATCTCGTCCCTCGGCGAGATCGCTTTGGTCCAGGTCGTGGGTTTTGATCAACGGATGAGCGATGTCGATTAACTATGCGCGTTCGCTTTTGATTTCGGTAAGTCGTTGCGAGCGACTCGCTTCGATACTCGAGAGGGGCTCGAATTGCGTCGCAAACTGGCTCGATCGCCGCTAAATTAATTCCCTATCGATCGGAAGTCGCGGGGCGCGACCCTTGCCGCGCCACCCCTGATCTCGGATTATCGCTAACGTAAGATATAAGTCTTCGTTCTTTCGCGCCGTTCGGGGAAAATGGTCGAGTCTTTCCCGTCGCCTTCGACGGTCTAAAGACTCGGGATCACAGTGGGGGCGAGTTTTGGCCGTCGACTCGGGGTAAAGAAAAAATCGCGTTTAAAATCAAGCTACTCGTTCTCGTTGAACCAAATCGCGATCGTACGTTGGCGCGGAATTTTGACTCGAGAGAGAGAGAGAGATTCCCGACGAGTCGGGCACCCTTGAGGCGGAAGTCGCGATAACAAAGTACGAAAGAGCGGCGGGGACTATCCCTATCGCGCTTTGGGCCACGTTAAAAAAAGGTCGGCCTCGCGCGGATATAATTCGATTCGATAGTTAACGCGAGTGCGCTCGGTTACGGCCCTCTTGGCAGCCGTTAAAAGGAGCGAGTCCTAATAGAATATCCGAGAGAGTTTTACGAGATTCCTGGGGGGCGAGTCCCCCCTTTACTCCCGGGGCCCTCTTCTTCCGGGACTCGCGGACTCTCCTTCGACTCGGCAACTTCCGGCAACTTCAAACGTAGTTCGGCCTGCCGGCGCAGCAGAGGAAGTTGAAGCCTCCCCGGAAGTAAGACGGATGCCTTGTCTTCCTATCCCACGGGTAGCTCTTCCGGTTCCCGTTATTGCGCCCGTTGCGAGGACCCGCGCCCTGCAGTGCCACGGGCTTCTCTGCAAATCAAGACGACCCTCCTCAGACGTGCCTTCTCCTTTACCTTTCATTCGATAAACGGGACCAATCGTACCGGGTATTCCCGGGATGGATGGCCGTTTTCCGATACGAGACGAGATATCTCGCGAGGGGCCTTCCGGGGGGTGAATCGCGCGAAATACTCTTCGCGTACTTATTTCAGATCTGGATAGAGATAGGCGTCGGGATTCTATCGATTTCCTTTTTTTCAATTTTTTTTTTATGCGAAGTACCCCCGCGTACGCACCGAAAGATCATCCACTCCCGGCTTTTGATCGTAATCCACTTTGGAGCTTGATGGAAGAGCCTGGACGCGCTTTATTAAATAATTAAAAACGATACACTTTATGGATCCATCGAGTTATTTTCCCTCGTCACGGGGAAGATAGGTTTCGTTTAAACCCATCGTCCGGATAAATTTTGAACGATGACGAGCCGAAGTTTAATACTACGCGACGGGGATCGAGCCTCGCCGAGGCGTTTACGATGCGTCCCTCGAGGTGCACTTCGACGAATTATCCCGGGTGAAAAAACGGGAAAAAAGCGGTCTCTCGATCCGGGGGGATCGAGAGGTCGGCAAACTCGAGGGGCGGAAAGTCGGCCCCGAATCGGCTTTAACGGGGTAATCTTCGATTACCTCGCAGTCCCGCGTAATCCGTGGCATCTTTACTGCGTCGAAAGTGGATTAACGATCGCGTTACGTCGACGGCTCTCTCGGTTACGTTTACGAGGGTGCTACTCCCTCGGAGGTCCATCGGGACGTCCTGGCCTTCCTTCGGCGTAATTTCGGACCGCGATTATATCGCCCGACCGACCAGAAATAAGGTTTCGGTCTCGGGAGTCGTGATCTCGCGAGGGACGCCGACATTTCTGGGGAATCTTGCCCTAGTCCGGGAGAAAAAAAAAAAAAACCTCCGAAATGCTCACCCGTGTCAGCTTCCGACTGCGGCATAAATTCCTGCAGCTCGGATATGAGGGCGCTTATCTCCTCCGAGTCCTTCCGGATGCTGCAGAGCTCCTCCTCGTTGAAGTCCGGGGTGATCTGCTTGCACAGGAGGATCTGCGAAATCACGTTCCCGATATTCGACGGTCCGGCTTTGCTCTCTGCAACGAGACGGTGATTCTCCTTCAATCGGCTCCGATCGATCGGCGGCTCGAACTCCCTTCAAAGGCTTTTAATCTCGAAAGAAGTGCCCGCGATTTTCGCGCATTGACGATCGGACGAACTTCGCTCTCGGGAACTGAATCGGCACGAATTTCACCCCCAAAAAAAAACCTCCTTAGGGCCGGGTCTTCTTGAACTTATTTTACCATTGAGAGACAAATTACGACGTGGTGGGTTCCTTTGGGAACGGGGCCGAGGGATTTAATTGGCAATCGATTTTTCCGCGGCTTTTGAAAATCGAACCGTCTCCGGAACGCGACTTTAAGGCGTTATCTTTGCGACCATGCGAATTCGTATGCCAAATTGGGTCCCGGTTAAAACACGCGAGGAACCCCCTGGTCTCGTTTGTCCGCGGTTGGCCCGAAGTTTAACCCTCGTTAAAGCGGAACCGGGTGGCGGATTACGCAGGCACGACGATCTCGTTAACTCCGCTGTTCTCTTCGGTTTATCAGGTTTTACGTGACTCGCATTTCGCGTAATTGCGCGGCGGAACAAGCGCGTGGCGTTTCGACGCTGCCCACGTAAAACGGTGGCTAAAAAACCCGTCCTGCTTTTTTCTCACATCAACGGCAGCCTTTCGATCGCGCGAAACCTTTATTAAGCCACTATTGTGCGGTTAAACCGTTTTTGACGAGCGGCAATGGTCATAATGTCATCGGGCCGGGAGAGGGTCGCAATTTAAATCCGTAATGACTCGCCTTTCGAAAGATTTCCGCCACAATTGACCAAATTTCGCGGCCGGGATTGAAAAGAACTTCCACCGAGAGCGATTCGGTTTGTGTGGTAAACCATTCTCTGAGATTTTAATCCCGGACGGGCCGCTGCGAGAGCCAGCCGACCGCTTTAATCCATTCGCCGTCGTAAGAAACGCTATTACTTCGTCGCGTAACCGAGGTCGAGTACTCGGGGTACACGGCCACTAAGTAATCGCGTTTTCTGTGGGCCGAATTGTTCCGCGAATTTGGTACATCGTTCCGAGTCCGCCTCACTGAATTCACTGAAGTTTTGCATTCAGACCCTTAGACTGGAAAATCTCCTCGCGGTTGCTGGAACCGAGCCCAGTCCTCGTGGGCACGCTCGGATACGTAATCGCATTGACTCGTCGAATATCGGAGTTATTCAAGGGATGGGACGTTACCGAGATCTTGGAATATCGCCGGGATGTTTTTAACACCCGACTTCGGGTATCCACGAATCCACCGCGATCGCGCAAAACGTCGAAAACTCTCGCAAAGCCGTTCGTATCCTCCCGGTCGACGCGGAATTCCTCGAGTCTCTTCCCCCGGCTTCTTCGCGTCCGTTGCAAGTGCCATTAACGATTATCTGCGCCATTTGCGAGGAGCAAGAAGTCGGGAAGACGGAATCGGGGAAGCGTAAATTGAGTTAAATAGTCGCAACCGAGCATGACCGCGTACCATTAGGATAAGAGTCGAACGGCGCAACAAATGACTTCGAATCGAATCCATGGAAAAAAAAATAGCGAACGCGGTCAATTCGTAATTAGATCTAGATAGGCAGAGTTCGAGGCGACTTTTGTTTTCCGTTGTTCCCTTTGTCGGATCCCGGAGTCTCGTTGAATTACCGATTAAAACGCTTAACGAGACTTCTTGGTCGGCAGCGCGATGAGGGTGGAGGAGGGCTAAGCGAAATCGTCTTCGGAGTCCTGGATCACGGTCGAGGTAAATGATCTCGAGGATTTACGATCGGGGCGCGTGTTAAATCTCAGTGAAGCGGTATGTAGCCGAAGAAGTCGGAGAGCGAAGATTCTCCGGGATCGAAGGAGCCGAGGGAGTACCGAGAGTACCGAGATGCTTTCACGGCCCCTCGTTATATCTCGTGCACGACAAAAGGGTCCGCGCAGAATGCGATTCACCTCACGAGTGATTCGGATTTTAAGGGAGAAAAATGGCCCTCGACCCCTCGACCTCGCCGTCGTTATATTCCTTCGGCCGCTCGACTCGATGCCCCGGAAGATAGACCGCGACTCGAGACGCCATTTCAGGGCTGCCTTTTATGGCGGGGACTTAGATCCCGCCGAAGGTGGCCCGTTTCATCGTTTCCGCGGGATACAAGGAATTCGCGCCCTTCCCTCCTCCGCGGGAGGCCGCGTTTCCTCTGCGGCATCCCGGGGGACGTTAACCGACCGCTTAGAACGGGCGATAACTTACCGTAATACCCCGACATGTCCATCGGCACGATTCCGACCAAGTACTTGCACTTTTGCAACTCCCTCAGGAAGAGTTGGGCCAGAAAGAAGAGCAGCACCAGGTTCGGGCTGTCCGCCGGAATCCCGAGGTCCATCGCGCTGAAACGAACGCAAATGGATGAAGGAATTGCGAAATCTCTGGAATTGGCACCACGCGCGCTCTTTGGCCTCGGGAAAAATCGGGCTTTTTCACCTCCGGCCGGTCGATCGCGAGTGTATCGGCCGCAAAGTCGATTGGCCTCTCGGTTTTTTTTTTTTTTGTTGAGGACGGATTGGTTGAAAAACCTCGCAAAGCCGGAGAGAATCCGAGCAATTTCCTCTTCATAAAAAGCCACACCTGCACTCGGCCAGTGGAGTCGGTTTCGCGCAAAATTCTGAAGGACTCGCTTGATTTTCATGGCGTCCATTCTTCTGAATTATTTTTCAACGTCCAGCCTCGGGTTACATCGAAATCGGGAGAAAATCGAGCCTCGTTCCGTCGGATGTTTCGTCGCTCTCGGGTGTCGAGGTCGACCGGGGCTTATAATAATTAGAGGAAATTGTCGAGGCGTTCGGGCGCACCGAGGAAAGAATCCCGTCGTAACGAGCGTTACCCGCGTTGTTAGGAGCACCTGTTCAATTAATTTTTTTCAATCTTAAAACCGAGAACCGGCGCACCGAGGACGTTCACGCGAAACTCTTTCACGGTTTCGCGCTCGATACGAAAAAATTGGCGAACTTTCCCGGGGACATGAAACAGGGCGAATCGATTATTCCTTGGGAGGGAAATCGCGGAGTCGCGTTTTCCTATTTCCTCGGCTCGTCTTCGATAGCTCGGCGGGAAAATTTCCGGGCGCGTGCTCCGCGACGCGGGAACACTTCCGCAACCTTGGGGGTGCGAAACGGGGTCTTCTTCTGGAATGACTAAGTGCGAACCTGCGAATTAATAAGGAACGCCGGTATATAGCGACCTCCTCGGCGAATGTCGGGTCGAGCGGAAAAGCTCGCGATTCCGCGAACGAAACGCACGGTGGGTCTTTTCCGGACGGACAAAAGCCTTTCCGGATTTACCCCTAGTGCCCGTGAAATCTCAAACTGAGGCGGCCTCCACTCTTCTCCCTATGTTTTTTTAGGTGTTATTCGAGGTCCATGTCCCTTTTGGCACCTTTGGGGGTGGAGGGCGCGCCCTTGTCCTCGACTCCAAGGGAGGCGAACCGAGGCAAAGGGGTTTACGTCGTGCTCGTGCCGTAATGCAATTTACCCGGTAAGGTTCCGCGCGTCGGGAGTCGACGTAATCTCATCTTCGGATCTCATCCTTGGTGAGCGTACGTAGACTTTCGTTAAACAACCATCGGAGTCGGCGGTACTTCCGCGTCTCGACCCACAGCTCGGGGCAGCTTGACGAAAAAGTACTCACTAAATGGAGCAGGTGAAGCTCCTCTCCGGGTATCCGAGGGTCCGGAAGAGGCGGCTCACCTCGGCGAAGTAACTGCCTTTTCGCTTTCAATTCCCGTGGGGATTGCTCGCGCACTTGTCTCCGCATCTCCCGGCGAGCCTCTCGGACCGTGAAATTCCATTGTAAGTTCAATTTCGAGAAGATTAACCGAAGTGGCGAAGGCTTCCGCGCGAAGACAGTGCCTGGGGAGGGCCGCATAAAATGGAACGTGGGAGATTTGCATTAGAAGAAGGGGCGCGAATTTTCGGTCCAAGCTCTTCCCTTAAAGCGGACCGCTCGCCGCGGAATGCAAATGGCCGCTGCGGATCGTCGCCAATCCGGATCCTCTCGAGGGGACGCGAGGGTAATGCCCACCGATGCTTTCCTTTTTTTCCCCCTTTTTTTTTCATTCACGTCGATGACAAAGAAGAGGCTCCGGGGAACTCGGAAGCCCATTTTCCCTCCGGACTCCGCGACCGCCGGGCGAGGAGGGATCTTTTTTAATACCCTTCAGGAGGGTGGAGGTGATTTCGCGAGAGGGTCATCGATTGGGGGTCTCGGGGGAGGTCTTTCGTTGACGTTCCTCTTCGAGTTCTCGCGATTTAACTCCTGGTCCGGAAGGGCCTCCCGCGGCCGAGTGGAGGCAACGGAGTGGAGGCCCATGAAACATTTAGATCTTCATTAGAGGCCGCAAACTCCGCCGAAGGAATTTTCCGGGGAGCGGGAAGGGCGAAGGGCTTCTCGGACTCTCTCGGTACCGACCTACTTCACCCGTTTTCCGTATTCCGGAAAATTAGTCGGCGCGTTCGGACGGTTGGAAGCGCTCGGCTGACCATTGCTCGACGTTTTCACTCGCATGGATTTAACTTTAAGGTTAAGCCCAAGGGGTTGAAGGATCTCGTTTTGAACCCGCCTCTGCAAACTCGTATATGCATTTATTTACATTTCGGTCATTTCGCGGTACTCGACGACTTCAAAATCCGACTTTTCTCCCACAAGAGCGGCGAGACAATCCCCGATAAAATCCTCGAGTTCTCTCTCCCTCTCGGCGAATTCGCGAACCTCGCGTCCTCTTACGTTTCCGAGGTAGCGTTTCATACTTTAGAGCCTCAGTTTCCGCTTTACCTTCCGGCCGAGGAAGCGCGCAAAAGAAAGAGCGGAGGAATCGCGAGCATCTCGAATTCAGGCTCCCCTTGCCACGTGCACATATAGGTGGGGTCCCTCTCTCGGGATTGGAGAAGACAGAAGCGATCTAACTGCGATTCCGACTTCTCTCCTTTCCTTGAAAATCCGGAGCTCGACCTTTTCCCGCGTCTTCCTCGAGTCGATCGATTTTGCCCTTCCGCAAACTGCCCCTTTGTTTGGCTACGAGTTGCGTAATCGGGCTGCACAAAAAATGCCCAACCACGAAGCGCACCCGCTGGAAGGGCGGCACAGATTGCTCGACGGAGGTGCTCTCGAGAAGTCGAAAGTTGGTCAAGTCGTTTCCGATATAATACGAACAAAGGGAAGGCCAAGCCTCGGCTGGCGTCGAACGCTTCCTGCACTTCGCGATGGGAGCAACATCGAGCCTCTTCTTATTTTTTTTCCCCGGCCTCTGGTCGAACTTTGACGCGAAACGGAGAGAGGGTGCCGTTAAAGAGCTCACCCTGGACGCAAACGCGCTTGTAAAAATGCCGAAAGTGCGAAGACGATGCCCGGCGCGTAACCCGATAGCGCTTTCAACACCGAGCGAATATTTATTCGCGAAAAAGTCGACGCGAGGCCACCCTCGAGAACGGATTCGAGTTTCCTCGGGGGGGCGGCTTTTAAGATCGCTCCCTGACGGGGTTGTCTCGATTCCGCCGATAAGCCTCGTTTGTCGCACCCCACGAATACATGGACGAAACCTCCGGGGACTGGTTAACGAATCGACCGATCCTCGTTATCGCGGACGTGGAGCAAGAATCTCGCCTAACGCCCTGCCGGCCCGTTTCCAGGTTTACTCGGTTTCTATCGAGAGCGATTCAAAGCGGCGAGGACGATAACGAAGTAGAAGGCTACGTCGACTTGCCGAACTCCTGAAAAGTGATTTTTCCCCGAGCAAGTTGTCTCCGGCCCGGGGGTACGCATTCGGATGGAAATTAGAGACGTCGACTGCCGAACGACTTTCCAACTACTTACATACCCTCGCGTCCGCTTTCCCGCCAAGTTACTCGCCAATCGAGTCCGTTACCCTGCGGACTCGTACAAGGGGAGACCGTGTCGCGGAAAGTTGTGATTAAATTTAACTCCATTCAAGACCCGCGTTAATTAAGTGGAAGCGAGGAAGAAAGGGCCTCCCGTCTTCTCCTCCGAGGGCTCCTTTGGTCCGTTTTGTCCGCGTTTTTCCAAGTTTTGCGACGTTTCGCGAGTACCTTCGCATCTGCGGCAGGACCAGCTGAGAGGCGCCCTTGCAAGCCTCGACGCAGTTTCGCCGCAGTTTTCTGATCCTTTCCCGGAGTTCCGGACCGTCCCGACTCTGTCCGATGTTGATCAGCAGGTCCCGGAACTGCGCGATCTGACTGTTTATGTCCTGGATTTGCTGGAACAGAAAACGGAGGAAATCTGGAGAGACGGTTCCTTCGCGGCGCCGAAAAGGGGTAGACGCTCGCGGCTCTGCCGATGACTCCGACTAAACGACCCGTCGAGACTCTGATAATTATCGCCCTAATGACGACGGGGACGTCCGTGGCTGTGATAACGGACCGGCGTCGAACAATGGGTCCGCGTCGCTGAATATATCATTCTTCTCATCTCCTCGCGCCGAGGGTGCGAAACGCCGCGAAAGGGGCGGAAGAGGGAAAAGGAGAATCGCGTAGCGAGCGAGAGGCTCTCTTTCTCACTTTTTTCCTATTTTTTTTCTCGACCGCTCCGCGTGCCGCTTCGGATAATTCGCCAGGTTTCGATATCCCACCGAGTCTCCCCGAAGATCCGAGGGGGAGCTCGATATCGCGCGATCTCTTTTCCCATCGCGTGCGAAAAAAAGGAGCCCCGTGTTTGTACGCCATGTTTTATGAGCCGAGAGGCAGTCGCGTGGAACGCGTGAGGCAATTACCCGAGATTATCGCGCGAGTGGCGGTTTATTCTGTCGGAAGTGAGGAAGGACTCGCGATACGAATTGTGAGAAACGAGTCTCGTGGCGTGACAGGTGCAGGGGGGAAAAAAAGGAGCGCCGAAAAACCGAAATAGAGACTTCGACTGGACTGGCGATTCGTAATCGGTGATCGAGATAAACGAGCGACCCGAGATCCCCCGGAAGGTTGGAACTCGGCGAGGGTACAAATCACGTAAACGGTGGATTTAATTCCGAGCTACTTAACCGCACGCGAGATGGTAAATCTTGATCCCGCTTTTGACGCATTAGAACGCATGGGGCGCACGCTAAAACGGGGTAACTAGACCAGGAAGTGGCCAATAAAACGGGGAAAAAGGACCGACCCCTGCCAAGGGACCGTAATAAAAATCGCGGAAAGCGACCTCGTGCCACCTGGAATCGGTTCTCCTAGTCCGCGACTGGATTGATACGCCGGCAATTTCGAATTAAATGAATTTGCGGCAACTCCGGGGACGAGTTAACGCGGCCTTTGAGAGTTCCCGAGTTGCCACAATTTCTCGCTAATCCCGAGCTCGATCCCGGCGAAGTCGCGATAACTCCAGCCGATTCTGTCTGCAAGTTGGATATCTTGGAGGTTCGAGTTATGACGGGCGAAACGTTTCCTAGGCGATCTCTTCGCGAAGCATTCCTCGAAAGTTTCTCAGCCATTCGGTCGGTGGAAGGGCTCGATAAGCGCGATCCTCGGGGGAGGAGGATATCGAGCGTCGTTGTCGTGATTCTCCCGATTTTTCCTAGCAATTTTTACGGAGATAGCTTTTACTTTCGCGGGTTCGGCGCAACCGGGAGGATAAATTTTTTTTTTTTTCAAAATTGATATGCAACGACCACGTACTTGGCGAGTTTTTTTTTTACACGGAAGTGCATTTGTAGGAGACAGCTTTTACTTTCGACGGTTCGGCGCAACCGGAAGGATAACGAAGATACGGCCACGTCGACGGTTTTCTCGTCGCGCAGTTGTGATAGAAAAAGTAAACCACGTTCGTACGATCTCGCTGGGTTTAATCACGTATAAGTAATCCTAACTCGAGTTTACACCGAGGATACGGTGAGTTTCTCGCGAAGGAGAATTAAGACGAGGAAACTACTCCTGCGACGTTAGATCGCTCCGCCGAAGCGTCGACGGAAGTTTCTCTATCGATCTTCGTTGCACCTCGACTGCGCTCGGTGTTTTAACGCGAGCCCTTAAAAACCGAAAACGCGATCGATCCCCCGTGTATGCACGGCCTCGCTTCCGCGCGGCGAAACAGTCTGGAATTTATTTTTCCACCAGCCCGGAGAAACGGAGTCTCGCGGTAATACGCCGGATAATCTCGGTGAATAGACTGCGATAATTGGATTTCTGCCCCGAAAAATCGAGCGCGATTAACGATTTTCCCGGTGAAATAAGTGCCAATCGCCTTTGAAATCGCAAGGGAGACTCGAGGCGCGATCGAGCACACCTCGAAAATCTCGAAACGCCGCACCTCGATTCGTCCAAATTTTACGAGACTTGGCACCGATTCCTGGCAGATGCCCCGGAACCGGCTTCGACGAACGAGAGGGATTTCGTTTTACTGCGAGTAGCCTTATCGAGTGTACCGAGACTTTACTTCGGGCACAATGGAATCGCGCGCGTTCCATTTTAACTGCCGGCCGCGTAATCGTAAAGCAACTCGATAACCCGAGCGTAATTAAACGAAAAGGAAAAGGGAGACGTCGTTCCGCGTCGCGACGATCACCCACCGGGACTCGCAGCGCGCGAAATTCCGACGCAACGTGTTTGCTCGGCAGAGCCGGGTGCTCTCTTTGTAAATCTCGTTTGCGTCGAATTACTCGGCCGCGCTCGAGTTTCCGGGGAATTTATGAGAGCGCAATCGTAAAAAACCTCCTTGACAGCGGAAACGAGGAATCGCGGTCGTTTTGGAAACGCGATCAGCCTAATCGGACGCTCGTTACGCGACAAGTTGGCGTTCCCCCTCCGATGGCCATTGTTGCGGTCAAATCGTTTGACGTATTCCCGTGATTTGCAGCCGGTCCATATGCAAATGCCGCCCCCGTTTCGACGCCGGGGACTCGTTTCTTTTTCGTTCCTCGTTTCTTTTTCGAGTCCGAGTCCCATCGAGAAAAAGGAAGCAGAAGTGCCCAGAGCCGGAGACGTAAAAACAAATCCGAGCGCCGGACCGGTGCGTCGTATTTTGCTTTTAGGTACTTTCAATATTTTTCACCTGACGCTTCTCCGAGCCTTATTTTTTTTTTTTTTTTTTTAACGAAACCCGTTTCTCGGTTTGGTGAAACCGAACCTCTTAGATGTCGACGGCTGCGAGAACCGCAAAGTGAGATATATTATATCGAACTCCTGCTCTCGGGGGAGATAGTCTTTCGCCCGATGCGACATCGGATCTTTTCGGGAGACTTTCTCGTTTAATTACCGCTACCAGGGGACATCCGGAGAAGGAAATAAGCCGGAACCGCGGGAAGGTTGAGCCCACGTCGATCCCGAATTAGTCTTTGGCGAATCGAGCCTATTTTCGGTAGCTTGGACCGGGTCCGAGTCCTGACACAAAGGTCCTTTTTGAGGGCGAAAAAATGTTGATTGCGTTTTTAATTGCGAGCACGATATTCGCGAGCGAGTGCCATATATACGGCGATACAAGTGGAGAGTCCTCGGCATTTCGTTTCTAAAAATGCGGAGAATGCACCGAAGGAATTCGTAAACGTTGGCGCACAAACGCATCGCTCGACATGGGGTACCTCGAGGCATGCGGATTTAAAATGCATCCGCCGTTGACATTCCGCGTTTTAAGCAAGGCCAGGGGAGTCCTTTAAGCCCCGCCTATATTTTAAGCACACTCAAATGCTTTTCTTCCTCCTGAATGCCCCGACATTCCTCGATTTGCTCCTTCGCGTTTCTCCGCGAGCGTCCGTTTTCCCAGGCCGGCTGTCGAAACCAATTTTATCATCTCCCAATTTTCATATCCGACCAGAGCGAAGAGGTATCCTCGATTTTCGGATCCCTCGTCGATCTTTTTATTTTACGATTCCAAGGTCTCCAGGAAACTTGGTTGCGTCGCGTTACGAGTGACATTTTTCTTTATCGCTGCCCGATTAACCGCAAACCAGGGTACACCCCGCGTCGCCTAACGATACTTGCTTATCGATTAGATAAATCCAGCCTTCGTCTTCCGGGTCGACCGAAACGTGGAGCCCGGTTCGAAGCTAATCGGAGAGTAACCGATGATTTTCGGGCGGTCAATTCCTGGAGAGGAACGGCGATGAACGTTGCGTGTCGACGTCGCGTGATGGAAAAGAAAAGGATCTCGTTAATCCGTCAGGGGGTGAGGGACGATTACCGGGAAGACGTTCCTCTCTTGCTTCTCTTCGACAACTCTGACGGCCGAGGGTGTCGGAGACTCCGTCATCCTCTAGACGCGGGGCGGCCTCGAGATCGGCGGGATGGCAGGTGACGTGACGGGATCATCGACGGTCACTCGGCCGACTCCTTCGGGACGTCCTGGAACGCCTCGCGAGGACGAATACGGCCCGCAACTCCTGCCGCATCCGCCGCGACATCTCGCCGCCCTCGAAGAATGCTCGTCTCGCGATTTCGTCCTTCGAGTCGCTCGCCGCGGCCTCCCGTCGAGGACCCTCATGGGCGACGCGACGTTACGCGACCTCGACCAACATGATCCGACGACGCGAGGAAGAAATCGACCTTCCTCCCTTCCTCATTAACGGATACCCCGGGCCTTCACTCTGGGAATTTTGGAAAATTTTAAACAAATTTTGACCGGCGGAAATTCAGCGAGAGGCGTCTCGTGGTTGCCGGGTTCTTATTAAAATCGGCGCACTAAATTCCCAAATATTTCGGATGGTGCTCTCTCTCAGGGTGGGGGCGAGTTTACGTCCTGGACGGGATCCAGGATCGGGAACGACGAGGCTCGGAAGTTTTCGAGCCTCCTGGATGCCGTGACCCTTGGTGAGCACGATCCCGGCAAGGGGGTGCGCGAAACGATCCCGATTCGACCAGGTTTTCTCCGAGGACTCCCCGAAGATCCCGGGTACGGTCGTCCCCGGCGATTCCACGGCCTGTCCGTGCCGCGGGATGACGCGCGGCCGACTGGAACCGCGGAACCGTGGACTCGCGGAACCGCCGCGCGGCGCGAGGGTGGACGGGCGCATGTCCGGCTCGGCCCGCCCTCACCTGTTCCACGGGGGGTCGCGGCCGCGCACCTGACCCGACCGACGGCGAGTCCTCTACGTGCCGGCCGCTCGAAAAGGGGAAAAGGAAACCACGATGAAGTTGCGATACGTCGACGAGGTCGATAGGTGGACGGAAAAAAAAAAAAAACAATACCGCCAAAACGTTACCGCCGCAACTGCGGAAAGAACCACTTAACGCGATGACAAATTGCAAAGCTATTCTTCCGTAAAATTTGCGAAAAGTGTTAATTTCAAATTATGAGTCTACTTTTTTTCTCGGTGGGTGATATACGTTGAATTGAGGCAGGGTTCATGGGATGTTTTTTTTTTTTTTTGCAGCGAAACTCCCGAAAATGCGTCAACCCCATGTCGCACCCACGTCCGACTCGGACTCAATTTTCTATAAACGAAGTCCTCGTAAACCGGACCAACTATCAAAAACATTTTTAAGAGGGAATTTGCCCGTTTCCAGGGGAACGTTCACTTTCGGCGGTGGAAATCCCTTGGGATTTTCTCCTCTGCCCGAATCGATGGAGAGCGCTCCCGACGCGAGGCGCAGGAATTCGTATGTCGCGGGTAATTTGATGGATAATCGTTTAGAGGCTTTTTAGGGGTGTTAGTTTTTTTGGGACTCGGTAACGGCGACGTTACAGGGCGGAACGGATGACTCGGGACAAATGGAGACGCTATGGATACACTTTATACTTCGTATGTATGCACATATCATCTCCATTATCATATTCATGGATAAGTTCATGTCGGGCATGAATATGTTAAGTATACGGTATATATTTTATATCGTCTCGCGAGGGATCGGCGAGATAGACGCCCTGTCGGCGGTCGATCCGCAAAATGCACCGGAGACCCGCAAACGCGGTTACGTCGACGCGCGTCGGTGCATTACGAGTGCGGACGCGACTCGAGCGAGGCGACGAGCCGAACGGGCGTTTCGACGAAATTCATGAACCCGCCTGAAAATCGTATCGGTTCATCGAGGAGCTCGGGAGCGAACGGGCCGATCGATCGATCCCTTAAAGCGGTCGTACCGTGTGGCAGGTACAAAAAATTGAAAAACATATTATTTCATAAATTCCGAGTGACTATATAAATGTTAATAAATATATTGTAGAAATTTCACGAGGGGGTATTTTCTGTGGTTCGTTAGAAAAATTTCACAGAGACGCGACAAAAATTCAGCAGTCACTCGGTATGACTGCCTTAAAGGGTGCCTTTCGGAAGAAAGAAGTACAGGGGAAATTCGACATCCACCGCTCGCGTTTTCGCAGGCGGGACGGTCGAGCGACTTTCGGAGCCGGGAGCACATCCCGTAAAATCGCATACGATCGTTTGTTCGAAACGTGACTTCGAGTTCTGGCAGACGAGTCGTCTCGTTTCGATTCGCTGGGGAACCTTTCGGAGTCGGCCGTTCGATCGAAGGGCCGATCAAGGGGGGAAGGGGGGACGATCGTCCAATCGGGACCCTTGTCGAACCTCGATAGGGAGGGCGATTTTTCACTTGCCCCGTGACGAACGGGAAGAGACACCGAAATTAAATTTTTCCCCCGAGCGCCGGAGCGAGCCGGGGGTAAAAACGGATGTTTAATTCCGACGGGGGAAAAGAAATGTCCGATTACCCGAATCGCGGTAGACCGCGGAGGATACGGTACCGGATGTCCGTTTCGAAAAATGTGAAATTAAATAACTAACGCGGATTCGTCCTTTGCTGGACGTACGTCAGCTGCAGCCGCCTCCGCTCGAGTTGTCATTCGCCGGGGATGGGTCTCGGTCTGGCTGTCGATATATCACGGTATCGGAGCACGGATGAAAAAAAAAAAAACCGTCTTGGACCGACTCACGGCACTTTCGATGGATTCCGGGAGAGAGGGTCCGAGTATTGAATTGGGCCTCCCTTGACCGACGTGCCGAAAAAGGAAAGACGGACGCCCCCGCCCCTGACGCGGGTCACCTCTCTATGAATTCCCATAAATTCTCCCCTCTCGCCTCCTTAAAGTTCAGGGTCCGTCGCGACGGGGGTGGAGTCTCGAAAAACCGTCAAACCTAAACGCCCCGACCGTGCAAGAATATTTAGGTTACGTCACTTCGGGCCAATTTTCCGTTCATTAATGCACAAAATGCAATTACGGCCCACGGGGCCGGTCGCGTCACGACCCATAACGACTAAATCTCCCCCGAGATCTTATTATATAGAAATGTCGCGTCCTCCTTTCGATTTCGGCCGTCCTGCCCACTCTTTCACGGGACACTTTTTTTAACGGCCTCCATCCACAAGAGGGGAGCTACCTCGAGCGAGACCGAAGGTCTTACCTCCTCCTCTCTCTTTCCAAGGAGAACACTTTTAGCAAATCCTTCGGGAAGGACGCTGTCCAATTTTAAATCGATTAAAGAATTTCGATAACTACGCCCTGTCCGAGGTGCTCTCTCGGGAGCGGAAGTGGAGTCGGAATTACCCCGGAAATTAACACTCCGTTTATTCTGGTTCGAGGTCGGCGTCTTTTTATAGGATCCAAATAAGTGATTACAGTATTTTGTTTAAACGCGCAGACGTTCCCGGGAAACGCGTCGCGAAGGGTGGTTTTTCTCGGTATCGGTCGAAGGGTCGCCTCTATTTTCTGCTCTCCGACAGAGAGCGACGACAAGGACGGAGCTCGCGATCGGTCCATTTCGGTCCCGGGGACGAGGCACTTTTCCGACGCGAAAAGTCGAGAGTCGCCGCGAGTCTGGATGGGCGAACGCATTATCGCCATCGTAGCTGCGAATCGACGGAATTTCCATCTCGCGAGATGCAGGGTGACTTTCCGCGATCGTTGAAATCTCGCGACGCGGTGGCCCCCCTCGCGATCGACAATTGGCATCGATACGCGGCATTTTAATTAGCCCTGCCCGGAACAATCGAGGGCCCTCTTTCTTTTTCCCCTTTCCCCCTTGAGTTCGGTTTAATTTCATTACCTACTCTCGTTGCATCGATTATTAGATTCCCCCCAAAGGCCCCGACCGCCGGCTGGCACGCCCTTGAACTTTCGGGGAACAAATGTTTCGTACGGTAATGTAATTTCACTTCGCGATGCGCCCCCCCGATAGTGGATTTAACGGGCGAGCGACGCGCAACGACAAAATCTTCCCCGAAGGCGAGACGCGGAATTGGGTCGCGTGAATTTTTCCCGAGCTTCCGTTTTATTTTTCCGTAGGCATTTCCCGTAGGTCTCTCGCGCGACGAGCGGGAGCGAAGGGACGGAAGGCACTTTTGACGAGTTCGGCAAGAGTCTCCCCCGATCGAAGCTTCGGGGCCTCCTTTGTTGCGCCGCTTCGCCGAAGTCACGCAATGGAGCAATGGGAATCTGCACTTTAAATCCAGGTGTGCGGTAATGCGAGGGACGCGAACGAATCCATTACCCATCGGCCGGGCTGGGCACAATGCTCGCGATTCCCACGAGTCGGGAGTTGGCGAATTCCATGTATATTCGCGGACCTTCCCAAAAATGGCGCGACGCTTTTCCCCCTTCCTCTTCGTTTTTTTAATTTTTCCCCGACCAGCCAGTCGCCAACCGGCCGGTTTCCCGTTCAATTTCCAACACGGACGAACTCGCCGATTATCTTCTCGCCCTTAACGACCCCTCGTGGACTGGCCGCGACATTGATAATTGATTAATCCCCCACGCGCGGCGGACTAATGGCTCGGTCGCGAAGCTGACTTTTATCGCCATTATTTCAGGACCTATTTACGAGGGTACCGGTGTACCCTAAGTGTTCCACGCGGTCCTTTTGCACAATTACTTCCTCCCGCTTTCAGGGAAATAACGACGCTCGACGGGAGAAGTCAATTGCGCCGCGTCCACTCGATCCTCCCTTCTTCCTCCCTCCTCCTCGGGGAGAGTCGCGACACCTTCGAGACATTCTCGGGAAGGGGTTCTCTCCTCTCGAAACCGGAAACGCCTCGAACGGCAATTTTCCCGACTGATTCTACCCGATTTTACGCGGCGGGATTGTTCTTGCGACGAGGCGGCCAAATTTCTCCCTTTTGGCAAGGAAACTGCGAAAAAATGGCCGACGCGGAGGCAGAGGGATTTACGCCTCGAAAGTTGCTCCCGATATCCGGAGAAAACGAGAGTTTCGTGAGGTTCGGCCATTAGGGGCCACTTTGCCGAGGTGTTCCCGCTGAGAAATTGCCCTGGACGTGACCCCATAACCTCACCCCCGTTAA